TAACACCACACACAAAAACCAACTCAAAGTGGATCAAGGACCTAGGACTAAAACCAAGCACTATAAACTTAATTAGAGAAAAAATTAAAAGAATCCTAGAAGCACTAATCCACAACATGAACAGTCTTCCAAGCATCCTGAAAAACCTATAACCAGGAGAGAATAAAGTAGATGAATGAATGGGTCCTTAAAAGAATCGAATCCCTATGTGCATACAAAAACTTCTTCAATATTGTAGAAAGGGAAGCCACAGACTGAGAAAAAATATTTAGTAATGACATGTCTGATAAGGGACTTATAGGTAAAGGTAAAAAACCCAGTTGTAAAATGGACACAGGGTATGAACCAACATTTCACCAAGGAAGACACTCAGATGGCAAACAAACACATGATGAAATGTTCAAAATCCCTAGCTCTAAGAGAGATGCAAATCAAAGCAACTATGTGATATCATGTCACCCCAGTAACAGTAGCAAAATTCAACAGAACAGCAAAAAACAAATGCTGGCGATGTTATAAAGAAACTGGAACCCTTATTCATTGTTGGTGAGAGTGAAAATTGTGCAACTACTATGGAAGGCAGTATGGTGCTTTTGTAAAAAGTTGGAAATAGAAATACCATTTGACCCAGCAATTCCTCTACTTGGAATATACCCTAAAGAAAATAGAATTGCCACGCACGCATATCATGTTTATTGCTGCTTTATTCCCAGTGGTAAAGAGTTCAAAACAAGTACCCATCAACAAACAAATGGATAGAGAAGCTGTGGTACAGTCACCAAATGGAATATTATGCAGCACTGAAAAACAAAGAACTCATGAAATATTATACAAGATGGGTGACCATGGAGGACATTATGCTGAGAGAAATATCTTGGTCACAAAAAGACAAATACTATATAATTCCACTGGTATTAAATAGGAAGAAACTAAGCAAAGGGGGGTAAATAATACACATGGCATTAAAACAGACGAGGGAGAGAACTGTAAAATAGGAATATACGATTAGATAATATTGGTATGACAACAATCCAGAATAAGAGCTGCACAGTAAAGTGGAGTCAATACAGGCAATACAAAAAGGTGTAAAGGAAAAGTAAAGATTATCTTTCCCCAGACAAACTCTTATCAACATTTGATGTATACCTCATTTTTTGTAGGCACATACAAAAATTAGTCATCTTACACATGCTGTTTTATAATCTTAAAATTAAACTTAACATAAACATCTTTTGTAATAAATATTGATCATTGTTACTTTTAAGTGTGGACAGCAACTTACAAATGTATGGCTATACTGAACTTTAATCAATTCCCTATTAATGAACATACGTGGTTTCTAACATTTAGTACTGCAAATAGCTAACACTGTGATGAACACACATGTGAGCACAATTTTATACATTTTCTAGACATTTCCTTAGGATAGATTCATAGATACAAAATTGTTAAGTAATGGAAATGTGTTTTTAAAGTAAATACATGTTGTTGTTAGGTGTTGTGGTGTGTATGTTGGGTCCTGTTGTTAGGTGTTATGTGTGAAGTGTACCATAGGGTTTTCCAAGGCAGTTAAATGCACAAGAGGTGTTTGACTATCCTTCTCCTGAACCCTTGAATTATCTCTGACTCGCAGCAATCTTATAACAGAACAAAGCCCTGTCTTATCCTGTACCAGTCTCACAATCTCTGCTGTGCTTCAGCCCATTGTTGCTATCACTATGTCAATTCATCATATTGAGGGCCCCTCTCTTTTTTGCTGACCTTCTACTTTTCTAATCATAATGTCCTTTCCCAGGTACTAGTTACTCCTAATAACATATCCAAAGTATGTGTGATGGTCTTATCATTTTTGTTTCTAAGACACATTCTAGCTTCACTTCCTCCAAAGTAGATTGGTTTGGGGGGTTTTCTGGCATCCATGGTACTTTCTTTTCTGAAAGTGAGCTGTCAGGGATTTCTCTAGAGTACTGGAGAGTAATGATGTCAGTCTGGAGACTAAGGTGCTCCTGATCCAGGCCACAGTCTTTGCCATTACTTCCTATGTATCAGAAAGTGGAGCAATGACTAGGAATGATAGATAATTGATGCTTTTGAGCTGTGATGCTGGAGAAGAGTATTGAATATATACCACGGACCACCAGGAGAACAAACCGGTTTGTCCTGGAGAGGGTGAAATCAAGTTACTCCTTGGAGGCAAGCATTCTGAGGCTTTATCTGACATACTTTAGTCATGTTTCAAGGATGGACCAATCCTTTGAGAGGGACATCATGCTTGGGAGGGTGGAGGGACAGCGCAAGAGAGGAAAACCTTTAATGAGATAGATTGATTCAGTGACTGGGGTAATGAGGGTAGGTGTGTCAGAAATGAGCGAGATTGATTCATTGACTGGAGTAATGCGAGTAGATGTGTCAGAAATGAGACGGATTGATTCAGTGAGTGGGGTAATGAGGGTAGGTGTGTCAGAGACAGAAAAGTTGGTTCAGGATAGAACAGGTTTCAGGGTGACTGTACATAACATTGCTATAAATCGCGACTGATTCAATGGCACATAACAACAACATAGTTCGTTTACTATTCTCCACTAACACCACAATTCAAAGGTGTAGATTCTTCTGTCTTTGGATACTTAATACTTCAGGTTACAGAATACACAATGTACTGCCAAAACCCCAAACAAATCTGTCTTAGAAGAACCCAACCGTGGAGATCCTTATAGGAAAGGGTAATGAGACTTGGTCTCACAAACTTTGGGCACGTTATCTGGTTGACCAGTCCTTGAAAAAGAACATTATCCCTAGAAAAGTAAAGGATAATTGAAAGGGAAGAAGACCTTTAACTTGATGGATTGACAGAGAGATTGCAATAATGGATTTAAATTAATCCATAGCAGAGGTTATCAAGATGGCATAGGATCAGGCAGGGTTTCCTCTGTTGTACCTATAGTTGCTATGAGATGGAGCAGGCTAAGCTGTACCTATCAACAACATTATAAAAAAAACTCTGAATCAGCACTGAGTATGAGACTATTTTCCCCTTTTAAAAGGAAATACTGAAGTCTATTTGTTCTTGTTATGTACTGTCAAGTTAGAACTGACTCATAGCTGACTTCTAGCAAATTTTCAGAGTTTGTAAAATCACACGGGAAGAGATTACCCTGTTTGAATCCATGGAGCTGATGGATTTGAACCATTTGTCTTTGGGTTAGCAGCACAACTCTTCACTACTATTTCACCAGAGGTCACTGAAGACTACTTAAGAAAGGCAAACAAATATAAAAGATAAAGAGATTGAGAAACCAAGTTGACTTCTAGCTCAGTGGGACAGACATTTACTTGTGTCTTGTATCTTGTAATTTGTAAAATACTGTTTATAAGGGGTTATACCAGAGTATTTAAGTACTATGAGAATTCCCGAAATTATTCATAAGGTTATTATGTTGTTGTTATGTGTCATGGAGCCAGAACCAACTCATAGCTAACCCTCTAACGAGTTTTTAGAAGCTGTAAATTGCACAGGAGGTTATGCGTCTTTATCCTAAGGAGCACCTGATAGATTCTAACTGTGTGTATTTGGGATAGCATAAAAACTCCTTACCACTAATCCACCAGCCCTCCCTATTATTGTTGTTGTTGGGTGCCTTCAAGTCGGAACTGACCCATAGCTGACCTTCCAGCAGGTTTTCATAGATAGTAAGTTACAAAGGAGGAGATTGTACATATTCCCTCAGAGCAGCAGGTGTTTTCAAACAAGGTGCCCTTAGGATTGCAGCATAGATTCTTACCACTAGACCTCTAAAGTTGTTGTTGTTGTTGTTGTTGTCATCATTGTTGTTTTGTTGTTATGTGCCGTTGAGTCACTTGAGATTTATAATGACCCATACAACAGCTCTGAATCCTTTTCTATCCTGAGCCAACCTTATTGTCTCTGACACAGCTACCCCCATTGCCCCATAACTGAATCAATCCATCTCATCGAGTGTCTTCCTCTCTTGAGCTGTCCCTCCACCCTCCCAAGGATGATGTCCCTCTCAAAGGACTAGTCCATCCTTGCAATATACCCAGAGTATGTCAGATAAAGCTTCAGAATCCTGTCTCAAAGGATTAGCCTGGTTTCACCCTCTCCAAGATAAACCTGTTTGTTCTCCTAGCCATCCATGGTATATTCAATACTTTTCTCCAGCACCACAGCTCAAAACTATCAATTCTCTATCATCCTTAGTCATTGTCCAGCCTTCTGACACATAGCAAAGTTATTATGGTAAAGGAAATAGTTATTATAGTAAAGGAAATAAACAAAGGAAGGGGGCTTGTAGAGAACACAATGCAAGAAGGTAGCAAACAAGAAAATGAAGCGACAGAAAACGTCCTGTAAATTTTCCTTAGCAGGGAACAGTGTTGTCCTATTGCTACAGGTATCATGCAAACGTCAGGAAGGAAGTGGCTTTTTGTTTGTTTTAGTAGAAACCATTTCTAAGGTACAAAAACAACTAAACAAACCCACTGCCATCAGTCTAGTAGAACTCTAGTGACCTGTATAGAATAGCAGAAGTGCCCAACACCTCCAAGGCTGTGAGACTTTACAGAAGCCGACCACTCCATTATCCTCACCGAGCAGGATTCTGACTAGTGAACAAAAGACTAGCTTTACCCGTTGAGCTACCAGAAACTAGTAATAAGATCTTCCAGGCAGATTCAATAGTTATCACTCATGTTATAATGTCCAAAGCACGATGAATTGTTTCTTTTATTGTCCTCATACCCATTATTTTGAAACAAATTCCAGATGTGTTAGTTCAGCCCTAAAAATGTTGATACACATCTCTAAAAGATGTAGCCCCGGCCCCGGCGCGCCCCCGGCCCCGGCGCGCCCCCGCCGCCGCTCGATGCTGTGCGTGGACAACCGCGAGCGACGCGGCGGCGCCGGCTCGGAGGCGCGCACGTTGTGCGTCAGGCTGTAATTCGGACTCCCTCCTGGCCCTAACTGGAAAAGGCAGGTGGTCCGCCATGTTTTTGTCTTCCGCCCTCCGGCCCCGAGCGGCTGCCGTCACCGCCAGTTGGGTAAGGAGCCTCCGGGAGCCGAGGCATCGCCCCCATCCTCCTTCCACCCTCCGTGCTTTCCTTGTTCTGGGCAGAGAGAGAGCCCTAGGTTCCGAATGGGCCTGGCCTCATGGGACAAGGACCCCGGGGCCTTGGCGTTGTCTGCTGGCGAACACTCGCTTCCGCGGCGAATGAGGAGCCGCTGGGAGGACCGACGAGCGGCGCCGCGGCGGGGCTTGGACCTCCGGACGTGATAGGGTGTCCAGGAGAAGGCCTGGCTTTCTGGCCGCTCCTCCGCCGCCGTCCACCACCGGCCGCCGGCTGCAACCCCAGGTCGGCGGCGGCCTCCAGGCTCAGCCTGCGGGCCGGAGGACCACAGGGAATTTTCTTAGGGCAGAACTTTCAGGCTCTACATTTCCATTTCGTTCATCTGTGTTTTGTTTAGGGGAAGTGCTTGGTTGGTGGTGTGGAGGGCGTGCACTACGCTAGTCTCGGCCTTGAGCTTCACCCCCTTTCTTAGCCGTGACCTTGGGCTGTTAGCCTCATTCTCTTGTGTCCTCAGTTGTAGGATGGAAATATTTCAGCTCGCATAGTCTTACAATCAATATTTGAAGTCCTCCACGGCTCTCGGTTTGCAGGGCTTAAGGAAACGCTGGAGATGATAATTGACTTTTTATGTGTCAAATATTTACATTCCTCATCTCATTTGAGATTAATAATCACAGGCCTATGTTGGTATAGTTCTTTCCCCATTTTATAAATCAAACCGATTTAGACATTATTCATGTGAGGTTGATGGTCTAATGTAAGGGTGAATGTGCTACAGGATGAAAATACAGCTATAGAGATGTGATTTTTCAAAAAACCGAAACCACCTACAGTTCGCATGAGTGGTAGTGTAGAGTAGAACGTACTTCACAGGGCTTCCCTGTCAGTTCCCGGCCTTTGAGGCACCTCTGGGTGGGCTCAGACGTGTGAGTTAGTGGCTGTTGCACCAGCCAGGGGTTTAGAGATAGAACCAAAGTTAGGGTCAGTGCCAGTTGTTGGTTCCCACTCAGAGCGACCTGCCCTTGGGTTTCTGAGGCACCATTCGGTTAGCAGGCCACAGACCGCACCACCAGAGGTGTGAATTGGGCCATCCACTTAGGATTCTCCCACCCCTCCGGAGGTAATACTGAAATCTTACTTAATAGCACATGGACTGAAGAGAGTATTCTGGGTGGAAAGTATATGAGAAAGACTATTGATGATGTTGGCAAAGAAAAGTTGGGTGGGTATGAAGAGACTTTAGCACTGTTGCTGAACTTTGCGATTAAGGTAAGGTGTTTTCTAATATGAAATATGAGCCAGGAATAAATCTTGGAGCTCTCCATGCCCCGCCCCCCCCCCTCCTGAAGAATCTTAGAGGTAATGAGGAGTCTGGAGGGACAAGTCAGCTTTTTATAGTCTATATATTTAAGTGTTGGAACTGAAAATAGAATAGGTTTGATTGTAGTTAGAGGCAGATAAGGACTCTTGTGGAACCCTAAAGAAGAAGGTAAGAATCAGAACTTGTCTCCTCAGAGAAAGGATGGAAAGAAAATAAAAGATAATATATTAACTTTTGTGTTTGAAATTAACTTTGCCATATATTTTTTTTCCCCAGCTATAGGCTCTCTTTTTATACTTTTTTTTAGAAATCTTACAATGTGTATAAAGAAAACACAACTTGGAACCCACCATCATGTTTGCTATCCTGTGAGATTTACTGCCTCTGAAAACATGCAGCAGTGTTAGCTATGGGTGGGTTCCTTTGGCACACAACAGATCGTGATGGGAGGAGACTTCCAGTGGAGCCACCTATTGACTTGAACTGCTGGAGTAGAGAAGCTTGCTATGAACTACAGTATTCCATTTTCTGCTTTATCCTCTGTTGATTATGCATCTTTGGTAGTGTTGATTAATCCATTGTTTGCCATAGATTAGACCCCTAAATGATCTTTTACACTTAAGCTTTTTTCCCCATCTTTTTTTCTTTTTCTTCCCCTTTTTAACTTTATTTCAACATAACTCTTGAGCCATCTTAAGTTACTTTTTGTATGTGGGACCTTGATTTACTCCATCTTCATAAAATTATCAATAGGTAAGATTTTACTGCTGTCATTTTGCTGTACTTTTTATTTGTTTGGTTGGTGTTGCTGTTTTCTTGATTTTATATACTTTCCTGTACTAAGTTGATTTTGTCTGTGGCTTTGTTTCCCCCCCATCATTTCTTTCCTGTTGTTTTAATGTTTTACTAAATCTTTATGAATTTATTCTGGTGAGAAGATTTGAAGTTACTTTGTCAGTTTCGGTTTTATTCTCAAGTAAAAAACCATTCACTCTGGCTTGAAATTGTGCTCACTCAAAACTTGGTCACTCATAGACCAAGAAGCAGTTGTTGAAACAGAACAAGGCAATACTGCATGGTATACAATCAGGAAAGGTAAGCGTTGGAATTGTATTCTATTCCCATATTTAGTATGTATGCTGAGCAAATTATTTGAGAAACAGGATGAACTCTAAAAAAGAATGTCGTGTCAGGACTGGAAGAAGACTCATAGCAACCTGAATTATGAAGGTGACACAACATTGCTTGCAGAAAGTGAAGAAGAGCTGAAACACTGGAGAAGTTCAGAAACTGCAGTCAGTATGCATTACAAGAAATCCAGCCACTTGACCTATAGGCAACCTCATGATAAAAAGAGAAGAGATTGAAGTCATCAAGGATTTCATTTTAATTGGATCTATAATCAACACCCATAGTAACAGCTATCTAGAAAGCTAAGGATGAGTAGTTGTTGTTTTGTGCCATCAAGTTGCTGTCAACTCAAAATGACCCTATGTACAATAGCTCCGAATTCTTTATCCTGAACCAATCTCACTGTCTGTGCACACCTATCCCCATTACTCCAGTTACTGTGTCATTCCATCTCATCTGGGGTCTTCTGTATCTCTCCACCCTTCCAAGCATGCTGTCCTTCTCCAAGGACTGGTCCCTCCTGGCCACATGCCCAAAGTATGTGAGATGGAGCTTCAAAATCCATGCCTCCAAGGAACATATGGTTTCACCCTCTCTGGGACAGATCTATGTGTTCTCCTTGGAGTCCATGGTGTGTTCACTACTGTTCTCCAGCACCACAACACAAAGGCATCAGTTTTTCTTCTGTCATCCTTTATCATTGGCCAGCATCGCAAGTAATTGCAAAGACCATGGATTTCATCAGGTACACCTTAGTTTCTAGACTAACGTTGCTCTTCAGTACTCTGGAGAGGTCCCTGGGAGTAGACTTTCCCAGTGCAATTTGTCTTTTGATTTCCTGGCTTCTGGTACCAAGAATGCTGATTGTGGAGCCAAGCAAGCTGAACTTTAGCAATCTCAATCTCTTCTCCATCTATTTATGATGCTGCCAATTGGCCCAATGGCCAGTTGTTTTCTTGATGTTGAGCTTCAATCCATATTGAAGGCTGTAGTCCTTTATATTCTGCAGCAAATATTTCAGGTCCTCCTCAGTTTTAGGAAGTAAGGTTGTCTCATTAGTATAGCACAGGTTGTTGGTGAGTCTTCTTCCAATCCTGATGCCACCACATTCTACCTTATGAAGTCCAGCCTTTTGGAGATAGGATGTATCCCTGAAATACACCTTTGTTTCCTTTCTTAGTTCTGACGACAACTTTCTGGTCAAAGTATAGGTTTTACATAAGCACAATTAAGTGTTCTGGGATTCTCATTGTACTCTAACCTTGTAAAGAAAGGTGAGTTACATTGAGAAGAAAAAAAAATCTGTCAAGGATCCTTGCAAAGTGCTAAAGAGCAGCAGTGTCAATTTAAAGACAAAGATAAGCCTGAGTTGTGTCTTATGTGATAGTTTGACAATGGAAAGGATGACAATTATCATTGTTTTGAATTGTGGTGTTGAGAATAAGAGTAAATATCCCATTGCTGTCCGAAAGAACAAACAATTATGTCTTGGAGGAAGTATAGCCACAGTATTCCATAAGAGGTAAGGATAGTGAAACTACATCTGACATAATTTGGGGATGTTTCCAGAGGTTATGCACATGTGAAACATATATATATAGATTAAGAAACAGTTGTTTGAACAGAACAAACAAGACATCAAAGATTTCCTTGGAAAAAGTAGAGAGTCAGTGAAAGAGAGGAAGCCCCTCAAACAAGGTGGATTGACACAGTGATAATAAAAATGGAGATTGTGATGAAGGTATGGGAAAGGACAGTGTTCTGATCTGTTGTTCATGTACTTCTACAAGTAGTAGATGACTGGGCTGCATCTAAAAACAACAACATACTTCTTGGAAGGAGCTATAGTGGCATAGTAACGTATACGTTCAGCTGCTAACCTGAAGATAATGGTTCAAATCCAACAGATGCTCTGTGTGAGAAAGATGAACAGTCTTCCTCCAAAAAGATTTGTAGTGTCACATACCCAGTGGAGCACTGTCATGAGTTAGAAGCAACTTCATGGCAAATGAGTTTGTAATTAATTCTGGGTTGGCTGGCTGGCTGTCTCTCTCACTCACTTCCCCCTCCCCCCGCCATGGTTTTAATATACATGGTTATTAATATATAATATACTATAGTTGTTTTGATCCCTTTGAACTTTTATGTCCTCATTTGTAAAGCACTTAACTCATGCCGTAAAGTAGATTCTGACAAAACGTGACCCTAAGAGGACATAGTAGAACTGCTCCATAGGGTGTCCAAGGCTTGAAATCTTTACAGAAACAGACAGCCACATCTCTCTGCAGAATACCTGGTGGGCTCAAATCACGAATTTTTTCATTGATAGCCAAGCAGTTTCACAACTGCATGACAAAGGATGATATAATACAAATAGGTACTCTATACCTATATTGGCAGGATTGATATGAGTTCAAGGAGTAAATGAGTTCAAGTAGTTGTAAAGATTTTTGCGTGAAGTCTCATCTAGAATAAACATTTTATTTATGCTAGCCCTAGAAATAGATGTCACAGTTACTAT